CTTGAAAGACTTCATTGACTTTTAAAATAGGATAAGTGATATCTTCTTTGACAACCAAATCCGCCCAACTTGAATCCCTACACCATTGGTCAAACCAAAAATTAGCATCGCCAGATCGAATGAGGCATTTAGAGCATGCCCTAACCTCTTATACATGAGAAACTAATCTTTCAAATAAGAGATGAGGAAGTGGGAGCAATTGAAGCTAAGAGATGAGCACCCTTCAAATATTTTCTCTCATATAAAAAGCCCAGGGAGAATCACCAAGGAGAAACACCCACACTATCTTAAAAGAGAGAGCCTTCTGAAAATCAGCCAACTTTCGAATGCCGATGCCACCCTCTTCTTTAGGCCTGCATACATTCTTCCAACTACACTAGTAATGTTTGGAGATTCCATCAATATAACCCTAAAAAAAGGTAGTCATAATTTTTGCAAATCATAAATGATGGATTTAGGAACTGGTATAGCAGCAAAAAGATGGAAAGGTAGATTGGGAATCACATGCGATGATAAAATAAGTCTACCACCTGCTGATAACAATTGAGCTTTCCATATTGCAATTAAATTGGTCAATTTATCAATAAGAAACTGAAAATGAACCTTCTTCAATTTTCCCTCAGCTATAGGAGCGCCGAGGTAAATTAAAGGCCATGTCCCCCCTCTAAAAATATCTTTAATAATATTGATACGAGTGGGTGTGATCCTCCGTGAAGTATAGAGTCTGCTTTTCTGAGGATTTAATTTCTGACCTGATATCTCCTCATACTTTTGAATAAACTGAAGGATTCGAGATAAAGTAGATTTTACCATTACAAAAGATAAGTGTATCGTCAGCATAGAGAAGATGTGATGCCATAGGAGCATCTCTACTTGCTGGGAAGCATAAGCAAGGGTTATCTTCAAAAAATCTTTTCAAGCCTCTAGATTAGAACTTCTTAGGGGAAGAACGAGCGCACGGCCGCACACGGCTTGTGGAGAACGAGACCTATAAATACATATTGCACCCTGGATCCGCCCCCCCCCCCCCAAAAAAAAAAAAAAAGAAACCACACAAAGATCTGTTCACTAACAGGTCCAACACCGAATACCAAACTGAAGAGATACAATTCTTAACAATTTTATGAAAGAGCTGGAAAATCCGAATCTTTGCAACACATCGAAAATAAAGCTCCACTCAAGCCTATCATAGACTTTCATCATTTCGAACTTCAATACTATATCCCCCCCTCCCACGGGGTCTTTCAGTTGATATTCTGAATTATTTCATAAGAGAAATATTTCTACTATGTTTCTCTCTTTTATGAAAGCTCCTTGTTCAGCTCCGATCAATTTAGGTAGAATGGAGGAGAGCCGAGAAGTAATAATTTTTGTTGTAATTTTATGCAAGCAGTTGCAGATTGGTCAAAACTGAGAAAAATTAGCAGGCTCCTCTACGTTAGAATCAAAGAGAGAAAGTCGAGTTCCATGCTCTGAGAATTGCCTCTATAAAAACGTCTGAAATTGCATCATGAATGTTGGATTTGATAATTTCTCAACTGTGAGATCAGAAATGGCCTGGGAACCCATCGATCCAAGTGTGCCATCAAGATTCATATCTGAAATAGCTAATTTGATCTCCCCAAAAGAAAGAATCTAAGTCAAAGATAAATTATCCTGCTCCGTTATTGATTGTGGGATGAAATTCAACATCTCTGAGTTTGTCACATGCGGTTCTGAGGCAAAAGGACTTGAAGAAATTTTCTTCCTGAAGAAAAATGAGGTCCCTATCCTCAGTCCAAGATCCATCATCCAACTGAATTTTGTTAATAAGAGCTGTTTTCTTTTATTCAATATGGTAGTATGAGACAAGGACGTGTTTCTATCCCCTCTTTCAACCAATTTATCCTGGATTTCTGTCTCCAAGTACACTCTTGCAACAACACTTGCTGAACCTATCATTCGTATTATGAAGTAAATCAAGGGCCTGAGGAGAATTATCTTGTTGCACCAATTCTTCAGCCTGAATAACAGCCTGCTTTGCTAATTTTACTTTTTCATGAATGTTGCAAAGGTATTCCAGTCCCAGTTTTTCAATCTGATTTTGAGTCTTTACAATTTTCTCTAAAAATGACGAGGAGAGTCGAACAAGGGTTGAGCTCAACATTCCTTCACTTCCAAGAGAAAGGTCTCGTCATATGTCCACATCTGAAATTTAAAAGAATTAGAACCTGAGTGAAATTGCTTGTCATGAGATACTACCATAGGAGCATGATCTGAAAAAGTTCTGCTGAGATGAGAAATAATACGAGTGCCAAACTTAGATAGCCATTCTGAATTGTAAAAGACTATCGATCCTCGACCACACAATTCTAGTGCCTTGCCGTTCCACCAAGTGAATCTGTTGCCCTGAAAGCCATCAATCGAAAACACCCAAGGAATTAACGCATGCCATGAATTCTCTAATAGAAACCAAGTCCGGTGATTACCCTCCTAATTTCTCATGGGGATAAAGAATGCATTAGAATCGCCTCCTAGCAACCAGGGGCCATCCACTCGAGATTGAAAATCATTCTAGTGTTGCCATAGTCCTCTTCTTTCAACAACCGAGCATTTAGCATAGATGAAAGATAAATACATGTGACAGTTAAGAGGTCTAAAGATGGCCTGAAGAGAAATACACTGAATAGAAAAAAACATGGAAGACAAATACACTGAAGAGAAATACACTGATTAGAAAGAATATGGAAGATAAATAAATGCTAAGTTGATATGTTGCGTCTTAATTATTGCAAGATCAGATATGTTTTTTTGTTATTTTTCTTTTATCTTAAAGTTTGACTTTAATTTTGTTTTAGTGCTTGCTGACTTAATCAAAATAGAATGTTAGGGCTTGAAAAATGACTGCAGTTTCTTATAGAAATTGACCTGCAGGTCAAAGGCTCTTATAACTTTGTTCATTCCTTTATGAATTACTCAAGATATACTAGGTGCTGCATTCAGAGTCAAATAAGTTTATCTACCTTGTGTCTATCAAAGAACTCAGTACTATATGTTTTTAAGTTTGTAGAGAGGAACTCTATTATATGGAGTTGCTTACCTTAAATTCTCATTTTGAGTGTATGCACTTGTAAGTTCCTTGCATTCATATGTTCATGTAAACACCCCACCCCTAAACCTAACCCCAACCCCAACCCCCAAAACACACATGCGTATTACACATATACTTTCACATATATGGGTGTTATGTGTGCATGCGTGTATGGGAACACACGCACACAACCGCCACTGCATCACCACTATTGTCAACAGCAAGAACCCTTTCCCATAAATTTTAAAAAAATACTGGCTATATAGGAAGGGGTCGGCAAAGGACTTATTGGAGTTTCACATCGGTTCTTGATGTCAACTCTTGCCAATGCAACACCCTTGGTAAATTGAATAATCCCCATTGCACAATGGGGTTCTCTGATAGATAATCATTCTTGTGAACTCGATAACTAACTGTTAACTTTTTTAGGGGGAGGATTCTGGGAAAACTCATGTGCCTGGTGGAAGCAATTTCTGAATGTGTAAACTTTGGAAAAGTTCTTGTTCAACGTGCTACAAATGCTATCAAAGATTAAAACGAAGTAGAAGCTTGAGGAATTAAATCAACATGCCAACATCATAGCGAATTAATCGGTATCCCAATTAATCAGTATCCTAGAAGCCCACAAAAGATCACCATATCACACTGAAAACATTGTTTATGATGTGGCAGTTCATTTAGCAAATGAGCCACCAAGAGCTGAGAAGATAAGGACCACCTATTTTTTCTAATCACATTCGACTAGTAGGATGAACCTCCCCACCTCTCATCTCTTGTTAACTCGTTCAGCCTAATGAGTAATGAGCCACCAACTCATAAATATTCTCCTCTCCCTCTTTCTACACCCCCCTCCCCCAAAAAAAACCCATCAAAAAAAAGAAAAAGAAGACGACAACCCGCACAGAGTGCGTTTTCACACAAATGCATATATTACACAATACATATCCATTATCCATATAAGCATACATAAACATGTATCTGTTTTTATGCCTATGTATGATATGCGTGTGTATATGTATATATGTACGTGTATGCACACATATGGACAGACCACCTAAACAGCTGATATTCACATGTTCATATTGATCTTGTGAAATTGACGAATAAAATATATTTTGAAGATCTAGAACATGTTCATCTAATGCCTATGAACTGCTGAACATAAGGGCAAATTGATACATGGCCTATAAGCTTTGAGAATACATGATTCTCCGTCATATTCATTTAATAAAATGAAATTTTAGATGGACAGTGTGGATGACTGGTGACCTACTGGGGTGATCCAGATCATATTTTGATTGATGACACAAACGTTTTGCTTCTGTGCAGAGAACTGTGGAGCATACCTATTCTTTTACCAGCACGTAGGTTAATGTGAGATAGCTGAATGGCCAATTGGAGTGGCTAGAATGTAGTTTGATATATTGGAACTAACTTTTACCTTGTAAAATTTCGCTCTACTGTGTGTGTGGAACATGAATGCCTGCTAACCTTGGTGCGGGTCATGGGTTGCCGACCATGTAGTTCTTGGTGAGAGCAAACTTCTAGTTCGTTTCCACCCAGAGAAAAATAAAGCCTTGCTATGGGTGTGTGGAATGTGTATTATCATACCACAAGCCTCTAATTGTGCATCTAGACGTTAGGTTCATGTATGTGCACATTGAACTCCCATCTTTAAAAAGAAGCTAAAACTCCCATTGTATTTCTCCAATCTTGATGTCAGATTAAGTTGACAACAGTGTATTTATTGTACAATTGGATAGCACTAGAAGCACCAACTCATTGTATCTTTGCATGCATGAAAGTGATTCTGCATCTAGAGATTATGTCACTTGCTGCTGTGAACTGCAATGTTAGAATACAATTTGAGGTCCCATTGAATTTCTCCATCTTTGTTGTGAGCTAAAACGGACGTTTACTGCTGTCACAGACTTACTTGCAATCGACCACTGTGAGAATAGAAGAAATGAGAGTGAAGAGGCAAGATGCAGAGCAATGGATGTCACATCGCCTGCTTCCTGATAGCTTAAAGGACAGGATACGTCGTTATGAGCAGTATAGGTGGCAAGAAACTAGAGGGGTTGATGAAGAGAGTCTCCTCCGTAACCTGCCCAAAGACATTAGAAGGGACATAAAACGCCACCTTTGTCTTGCACTACTAATGAGGGTAAGTCATTTTCAAGCAACATATTCTCTTATTTTCACACAACATATTCTTTGTTGTTCGTTGCCAGTGGCAATCACATCATGCTAACCGATCAGGCATATGCGAGATGCTTTTGTTAATAAGCTTTCAGTTTAATCATGTCTACGCGGCAATTTTCTATGTTTGCAATTCAATTTTATGTGTGCAACATGTTTTGAACCATTGTCGAAATAATGATGGAATGGTTTAAGCCCTCAGACCTCACACACATGCCCAGGCACACATTGTAAGTGATGAACTATATATGTTGCTGTTTTTAGAAACTTCCAACAGGCAATTTGATGAGGCGTAGGGCTCCCGGAAGGTTCTGGAATAATGAATATGAAAATATGGATACAAATGATGTCCCTTTCAGTTTGAGGGTTAACCTACGTTCTTTTGTGTTTTGTTCTTGTGGCTGTTTTATGTGTAACCTATGTAATTAACAATTGGAGGAAAGTAATAACAAGAGACCATGCCACTTTTCTTTTCCTAGTTAAGACATCGCCCGCAACAGTAAAGCAAATGCAAGATTCAAGCAAGCTCACAGATGCAATAGAAAGTCTTCATCTACCCTAAAGGTAAACAAAACAAGTCAATATTATATATTTAACTAATCAAGGATGTGCCGGATAAAGATCATCTGGGAACCTTTGGTATGCTATCATACTGACCAAAGTGATTAACTCACACAACAATGAATCAATAAAATGAGCAGATTGTAAGCAAATGGACACAAAGGACCAGTATCCGCAATTAGTGATGAAGTGACAAGTTCTGGAGTCGTACCTGAGGTACGTGAAGTGTCATATACCAGTCTAATAAGTTCTAATCACATTATGCAGTAACCAGTAACGACGAAGCACCACAATTTTGATACTGAGTTTGCCCTTCCTCAGTTTGAGCTGCACTAGGTCCCAATGTTGCTGGGCTTGTTGTACAGGTACATGTCAGGTTGAATTTGTAGATTTTGAACAACATTTGTTTCAAGTGGAAGTTTCCATTGGAATTGAAAAAACCTTTTAAATGATCCAAGTTGCTATCTTGTTGTCCATGTTCTAGAATGTAAATGTAAAAAAAAAACAAATAGTTTAAAGATTAACTCAATAAAAGGTGAAATATATATATTTTATAATAGAACAAATGAGGCTAGTTGATGAATGGACAACATCCCTTTTTCTCATACGAGGAAATAGAGTGCATGTTGCACCTGACTTTGCATGCACAAGGAGATGATTCGATAACTCTAAATGGACATCTTTTGAACCATTTGAACTTTTAACCTCAATCTTCATTCTTTGACTTGTGTAAGAAAAATCATACAATGTAGAGATGTGTTATGTGTATAAGTAGCACTTCATTGTTTTGTAGAAACAAAATTCGTCTCTTACCGCACAACACACTATATGATGGGCTACAGAAATGAGTAATACACACCGTTCATTGTCAACTTATTTTACACGAGACACACGTGGACCGAAATTCAAACACATATTCTAAGCAGTCTACTAACTCCCTTTTCCCTTCTGAACTCCTTTCTAAATCAATTCAGCAGTGGTTTCTTTTCTAAGCTCTTTTCTGTTAACTTCTCTTTTCCCTGTAGGTTCCATTGTTTGAAAAGATGGACGATCAGCTTATGGACGCCTTATGTGACCGTCTAAAACCCGTTCTCTACACAGAAGAAAGTTGTATCATTCGTGAAGGAGACCCTGTGGATGAAATGCTCTTCATCATGCGAGGAAAACTGGTGAGCGTCACCACAAATGGTGGCAGAACAGGATTCTTCAACTCTGAATACCTCAAGGCAGGAGATTTCTGCGGAGAAGAGCTCCTCACCTGGGCTCTTGACCCCCACAACTCCTCTAGCCTTCCATCCTCAACTAGAACAGTTAAGACTCTCACAGAGGTCGAAGCTTTCGCTCTTATGGCAGATGACCTCAAATTCGTTGCCTCCCAGTTCCGAAGACTCCATAGCAAGCAGCTTCGACACACTTTCAGGTTCTATTCACAGCAGTGGAGAACCTGGGCTGCTTGTTTCATTCAAGCAGCTTGGCGCCGATATTCAAGAAAGAAGCTTGAAGAGTCCCTGAGAGAAGAAGAAAATCGCTTGCAAGCAGCGCTAGTGAAAGAAAATGGAAGTTCGCCAAGTCTCGGTGCTACTATTTATGCTTCAAGGTTTGCTCTAAATGCTTTGAGGATGTTGCGAAGGAATGGAACGAGAAAGGCTAGATTGCAGGAGAGGTTGCCTGTGATGTTGTTGCAGAAGCCTTCAGAACCTGATTTCACTGCTGAAGAGCATTAGCTGGTTGATGTTAAGGGATGTAATAAGATTTGTGTTGTAGTGTAGTTGGCCATATTGGAATCTAATTATGGTTTCTATAATTTTGGTTTGTTGTATTATAAGTTTTTAAGACACTGCGGCCGTTTGTTGTAACTGTGGTCATAATTAATTAAGTGGTGGCAGTGGTTTTTTTTTAATGTAGTTGAAAATATTTGGTTAGAGTGGTGTTTGTAAATTGTGATTTCAAAGAACGACAAGGTAGAGCTGATTGTCATTGTGCTGGTAATGTAGGTGATGGTATGTTTGATCCGAGTGCTTGATTGATAGAGGAACCTTGTACAGTCAAATATCTATAATTATGTAGAGCAAGGATACATGAACCTATGAGGTTGATGCATAGATCATAGGAGTAATTGCAATTCAGTAAACTAAGGGATGGTGTAATTACACGGAAACCTTGAGATCTGCGCATCTATATAAATAATCTTGAGATTACAAATTACTAATGTGAATCCCGTGCAAAGCATGACCCTCTATTTTTTAAACACTACATTTTGAACTTGTTTTTCTCCAAGTTTTAATACATTTAATTTAATTATTGTATGTTTAAAATTAAAAATCATATCTACTCCGCTATACTTAAAGAATGATCCAAATTTAAAATATTTGATTTAGAAGTCATATTTACTCCTCTATACTTAAAGAATGATCCAAGTTTTTATAGGTTTGATTTGCTTTAATGTTTATGATACTGTAAAATACTATAGTATGAATAGTAACTTCAAGTGTGGTGGAGCAGATTTAATTTACTGTTTATGCTACACTAAATTGCTGTAGCATGAACGATAACTTCGAGTGCAGAGGATCAAATTGGTTTTATTGTTTATGCTACAATATTTCATGTAGTATTATTGTAGCATGAACAATAACTTTTGGATTCACCACAAGGTATAGAGGAGTAGATAACGAGGATGACCCTGAAGCCCAAATGACAAACAATTCCTAGGATTCAAGGAAGGATCTATCAGACTCCACTTTGGTGAAGGAGGACCCCTTAAGTTTGACGTTTTTAGATAACATCTCTTAACTTTTAAAATGTCACAAATTCCTACTTAACTTTGGAGATTCTCGATAAACCTCTTTCAATTTTGAATGTTTTTAAGAAAATCCTCTGAAAGTGTAAATCACAATTTCTGTAGCAAAAATCTCTCTCTACATAATTTTATTCACCCACATGAAAATTGTGGTTAACATTGTTAAGGATCGTTTGTGAAAGACAATGAAAATTGAACAGGGCTTTTTAAGAACCTCAAAACTTAATGAGGTTTTAAGTTAGAAAGTTAAGGGGGATCATCCAAGAAACCCCAAACTCAGTTGTACTAATGATGTGGTTATGTACTTTCTTTTAAAATATAAAGCTTAGCGGAGGTAATTGTACAGTTTTTTAATTATTAATTATGTGATGTCACCACTTTTCAGAAATTTTGGATTTGCCACTGCTAGAATTGTCGGTGTAGCTACAATTTTTAACTTCAAGATTACTCACATAATTATGCACATTTGAGGGTCACTTGTGCAATTATACGATACCTTAAGATATAAGGTTGTAATTAATCGAAAATCATAAGCCAATACATCAGATTGTGTATACAGTGACACATAGAGCAGGTCATGATCCCAATTAAGGGAGCAAAACCGCTGTTAAGGATGACTTGAAAAATACACCTCCAACTCTAGAAGTATAATGAAAATACGGTTTAACTTAGATACTAGTCGTTATCATTTAGCATACAGTGCAATAATTTGGTTTTAAAAGATGCATTCTTCCAACATTTACAACCCGTTCCTCTAAATACTTTAGTTGGAATTTAAATTAGCCTATTCAAAAGTAAAAATCCATTTAACATTTTAGGAATTAAAGTCAAATAGTTTATATTATATTATATTTTTATTTTTAGATAAATAGATAGTAATTGCCCACCTCCAAGAAAAGTTATCTGCAATATCCGCCACTAATTAAAAATAAATAAAACTGAACTATATACTTTCTTTATTTTACTTAGCGGAATGTAGGCTTTATAACACTCAAAACTCAGTTAGGAGTTCATCCTCCCTGATAAACTGCGTGTCGGGCCATCCTCGCACGTGTTAAGTGAGTAGGCAACCGCTTCTTGACACCTGGCGTTGTTTCCTCCCTCTTCAACTCCCAGAACACACGTGGGAGCTCGTGCTCTTGGGGGGACAAGCTCGTGTGGCCCACCACGTGCGAGAGCACTCCGACAAACTCCAGCGCGGCGTTGCCACGTGCAGCACCATCAGTCCTCTGACTGCCGAATGCTTGTAGAACACGTATTAGCATCTTCACATGCTCTAATCAAAGGTGATTAGCTATTGTTAAAGCACAGTTAAGTAAGGAAAAGGGTACTAATAAATTAAGGTGGTTATGTAATTTGTCAAACTAAAATTAAGCTAGCATCTTAAGGGGGGATATTTGCTCCTCTATTCAATTCATCTGAGTCTTTAGGATATAAGTTGAGCAAATGCTTAACAAGGTAGTAGATTATTTGAGGATAATGGGGGCAGATATGATGATCACAGTTGCGAGATAAAGTACAAGCTTTACGAATATTATGAGAATTGTCTTGAGCCAAGTAAGGCAGGTGTAATACTGTAGTTGATCGCCTCTAGTGTGCATTTTTGATAATTAAGAATTGATGAATGCACTTTTTCTAGCTTACATGTGATGTGCCATTAATCTTTTTTTTTATTATAAAGAATAAGTCAATATCTGGTGTAATAATTGAGGAGTTGGATTCTTTGAACTTACTATCAAAAAGAGCCAGAAAAATTCATCCTTTTAATCATAATCGTCTATTATTTAGTTGATAATTTTTTTTAAAGATACCTTCGGGTCTAGGTCTAGCATAATTTAGTTAATTAAAAAGATGATAATGGAACAAGAATATGAGTATATTCACATATTTATATAATTGATAGTCATGTTTTGCGCACTAAATTGGATATAGCAACCAATAAGCACCAGCAAGGAAAGGTGTTCATGCCTTTGGTCCAGAAGTATTAAATCTTAGAATTAAAAGATTGAGCATGAAATCTTCTATATATATGCCAAGCCACCACCGAAGCGACGTTTACATGAAACGCAGCAAAAATTGCAAGGTCGACGAAGTCTCCATTTTCTTTACTTCAAAGTTACAGTAAAATTATGCAAACTCTTTAAAAGAGACGTTGTTGTTTAGACATCAAATAACACGTAACGTCTGGCCCAATTTTTATGGTGTTAATTAGATTATTTTAAAAAATCTGCTAGAGAAATTAAAGAAAATTTTCTATACGTTATACAGTACAAAGTTTCTAAGTTCCTTTGCCCCTTATCACCTGACTAGTGTTACTCGATCGGTTTCGTAACTTTTTACAATCGAGCGTGGTACAAAGACAAATAAGAAAGAGGCGCCTACAAACTTTTTCCCTAATATCATATTGAGTAAGAAAGACAACTTTGGACTTTTTAACGGGAAAAATGATTAGATTTCCAATTAATGCTTTTTCGGTGAATTAATTTGTTACAAATCTCGAGCTGTATGAATAACAAAACAAACATCTTTCCTCCGAAAAATATAATAAAACAAACACAGCACTCCCATCTCCTCGTGTTCTTGCTGTCGCATTATGTTGTCGACAAGTCAATACCGTGCTCTTAAGCATGAACCTGGAGGATCTCTGCACATGTTGGCGCTTCTCCAATGACAAACTTTATATTTCAGTAATAACTTTAATCCGTAGTCTAATTGTATCCTTACCCGTACAAATTAAATGTCAAAACAGTCAACATTATGTATACCAGAAGACCGTACCAGCTTGGCATGAGGATTCTGAACTGGTGCAGGATCTTGCCTGCTCAAAAGTGTTTTTTTTTTCCTTTTTTTTTCTTTTTTTGTTTTGTGGTTAGCTAAATTATAAGGCATAGTTTTGTCATAATTTTGTAGTTTTTTGATACAATGTAAAAAAAATATTACGCAGTAGATTCAAATATCAGTGATCGTATTTTCGCAATTTGCAAAGAATTCAATTTAAAGACAATTATCAGCATGCAAATTCGTATTTACGAATCTTAAACAGAGGTTATGAATTAACTTTAACTGAAAAACATGAGTTGTTAGGTATTGACTCTAACCTCTACTTAAACCCACACCTCATTCATATCTTATCTGATGTGGGGCTATGCCCACATATGAATCCTTGACAATGGTAAGAATACACAAATATATTATATTTACAGACCTACACCCAATCTAACTATTGCCGATTGTCCTCACATCTTATATAAGCTTGAGGTTAATCCCATTGTAGGAAAAAACAATAATCATGGACAGTTGTTGTAACAAAGCCCAAGAAGCACTTCCGAATTCAATGTATTTAATCCATTATCAATGACCATATTCATGAGCAATCAGTATAAAGTGTGTCGGTTGCGCACATTGCGGAAGTGTGCTCGACAACCAAACGAGTCCGCGAGCGATGTGAGAAGAGAACTATGTAGAATTGGAGGCGAAGGCGACTAAGCTCAGGAAAATTAAAGTAGAAAACATTTTGGATGTTTTCACGGTCGGCCGCGAGTGGCGCTACGGTCAACCGCGAACGTGTACATAGCCTGTAAAAGTCTCTGGACTTTTCACGGTCGACCGCGAGTGGATTCACGGTCGACCGCGATACCCTGTAGTGCATTTTTGTTCTCTATCGTTGGTCACAGTCGATCACGAATGGCTCGACGGTTGACCGCGATGTGGTTTTGGGCCTGGGCTTGGTTTCCTATTCTGTTTGGGCTTCCTGTTTATATAAATAAGAACACAATTTGTTTAGGGTTGATTGGATCATATTGATCACTTTTGGGGTAGCTTGAAGGGGATTTTGAGCACAGAAAAGAGAGTTTTTTCTGAGCAATTTGTTTGAGGGTTTAGTTTGTGAGATTTGAGAGATTTGTTTGAGAGGTTAGTTGAGTGATCTTGTAATCTCTATTTTGTACTCTCTTTCTCTATAGCGGAAACCCATCCCTTCTTACCCCGTGGACGTAGGCAATTTGTCGAACCACGTTAAACTTTGTGTTTGAGTCGGTGTCGTTATTTTTAGTTCGTTTGGCCTTTCTCTCTCGGTATTTGTGTTAGTTTTTCGTCGCGCACAATAAGTGGTATCAGAGCTCGGGCTACGCTTGGGCTATTTAGAGGAGTAGATCACTTTGAAAGTTCGGCTAGGGCTTTG